AATTTTAATCTTTTGAATCATTTTCAGAAACAGTTCCTCTAAACTAAATTTTAGAAATTACTTGATTAAACTTTGTATATCAGTAGTTTTATAAGTAGTACTCGTATTAACATTGCATTAACCATAACCACTAATTTATTTATAGATTAATGAAGTGGGTCCTATTATTTATTTTGAATGATTAGATAAGAGAAAGTTGTGGTAAATTTAAGGTAGTTCAAAGTGACATCATATTTTTACTCTTTTTTTTTTATTTTTATGTCATATTTTACCTAATTGTTTTTTTTTATTAATTTAGAGCATATGTAGCTAACTTAATTATTTTATTAATTGCATCCCCTTAATAGAGACAATAGTTTAAAGCTGTATAACAGGTTCTTGGCACACAATAATTTGATTCACAAAAAATGAAAGATTCCAATGTTAGATGCAATCCAGCTGTTATTCCAAATTTGCACCATTTTTTTTTTCTCAAAATATAGTGAGATCATAATTTATTTACGGAGTGAAATTTTTGACATGAATTTTTATAATTCAAAAAAAAATTAATTAAATGAGGAGTGACTCCACATCATTCCACTGCAATCATGCTACATATCTTATGATAAAAGTTCGGTTATAAACCTTAATCATTCAGATTTAATTGTAAAATTAAAAAATAAACATATTTAATGATTAAGATCTGAATAATTAAAATTCAAATCATTGAAAATAAGCCTATTTAATGACCGAGATTTGAATAACTAAGATTAACACTTTTCTGTCTTTTTCTTTTGGCCAAATATATGAATAGATTCCTAAATTTGTTGGATTTTTTTCCTCAAGTACCTCAAATATACTATTTTCCTATTGAATCATCCATTGTTTGTTCCTTTTAAACAAACATTGTTGGCTGACGTGGAATCAGATATTGTGAGGGGTATTGATAGAGGGTACATATGTTGTTCCAGAAGTCATTAGTACAATTGATAGTAAAAATATTCGAGAATACTTGTATTTTACTTCAAGTCATTTGAACATTTTAGAGAACAACTGAAATTCACACAGTTCGTTTTTATTCCTTCAATCAAAATCATTATAATACAAACACAATTGAACACAATTACAATAGAAAAATCGATCAAAATCAACCAACAGTGTTTAAAAGAAACAAATTATGGGTGGTTCAATGATTCAATAGGAAAATGACATAGTTGAGGTACCTGAGAGAAGGAACAAATTATGGATGGTTCAATGATTCAATAGGAAAATGACATAGTTAAGATACCTGAGAAAAAAACCCTAACAAATTTAGGAATCTATTTATGAGTTTACCATTTTCATTTTCATATATGACGAAATTTGTCAATTTCAATTGACAGCACGGAGTACATTAGTATAAGTTTTTTAATATAAACACTTGGCTATAGTTGTGACAAGCAAGAGATTAGTGAGTAGATTAACAAAGATCTACGCAACTAATTTCATTGGTAAGTTGTGATTCATCAATTTTTAGGACAAAAAATGATCATAATAGACGATGCTCGTTAATCCTTGTCGTATTTCTTACCTAAATTGTTTTAGCTTACGTAGTTCTTCATTTTAAATTTGAGTAGGTGTGTCAAAATCAAACTCTATTTATTTATTTTTTAATCGGTTTAAGAATAGGCTGATTAATAATTCGTACATTTATTAGGTCAACTCATTTCAATTTAATCTATTTCAATTTATTAAAACTTAGGTTGATATGTAATCCGCATTGACTCATTAAAAGTCTTGTAAAAATATTTTAAATATTTTCTTTTACAATATAATATGTTGTGTATAGCCATAATACAGAAAAAAATAATTTTATTAGGTACTAAAATAATATAAAAGAACGAATAAAACAAATAAGTTTTGTAAAAGTTAAATTGCGTTGGATCTTGACCGTAATGTAACACATTATCTGACCATTTTTACCCAATCCATTTTGATTCTACCCGTTTAGACCGAAGCAAATTGGGATTGGGATTGAGTCTTGACCTAATTGTTGTCTTAGCATATTATGACCCCGTTCAAATTTGACTCACCCCGTTCAATTTCACCCCAACTTTTGAGTAATATATTTTCTGTTGTTAAAAGAGTGAAGTATCAAAAACACTTTTAAATTTTCTTTTTTTAATTTCATACATAAATTATTTAGAGTGTGAGTCACGCAAGTAAAATTATAATTATAAGTTTGAAAAATATACTTCATAATGTATGATGATGATTGGTGTGTGTATTCTCTTTTTATAAATATAAATAAAACATCATCATGTGGATTACCACGTGAAAAATAATTTCAGCATTGAGGTATATTTTTCAAACTAATGAGTGATAATTTATGTATGTATTCTCAATTCTTACTTTCATAATTTAGGTATAAAATTCAAATAACAAATTGAATAGCTTAAGTCTGTTTTTGACATTTAACTTAATAATAATAAAATATATCAACATAAAAAAAGGCAGATAGACTAAAAATTTGGGCTAGATGCCTAAGTATGCGTGTATATATATGTACACACATTTATTCTGATTAGTATTAAGATATGTTTCTTAAATTAATAAATAATAGTACATATATATTTATGACACTTTTAATGATTTAAGTATGAAACAAAAACACAATAATTTATATATGTACATTGACACTTTTAACTCATATCATCATCATTATAAAAATGTATAAAGCTATGGAATTTCTCATATCAAGTGGATAGACTTGAGTCGTAGTTATTTCTAAACTTGTTCGCATATTATATTTCATTAATTATTTTTAAAAAAATATATATTAATAATAATAATATATTTTCAAGTATTTTAGAGTGATTATATATTTCTCATAACAGCACTAAATAAATCACTCTTCTTAAAATAAGAAATTATATACGCAATTAGATTATATATTATAATATATTCTATTCTACTATATATATATATATATATATACCATAAAAGGGAGCTTACTAGGCGAATCAGGCAAGACGCAACATGCCTGCCTATCTGTTATGCGATAAAATAGTCCATTAACATACCTTTTTTGCATTTGTACTTTTTGCTTTAAATATTACAATAATTTGTGCACGTTTTTGGAATGAACGAAAACGTGCATTAGTTAGTAATTTGATTTTGAAGTACCATAATCTAATATAATTTGTTGCAAATATAAGATTGGTCGGGTTTTTTTTTTTTGAAAAAAACATATCTTGTATATATAGACATTGAAATTTTACAAAAGTCGTGAAATATTCACACATCAAATCTAAATTATCTTAGTTTGAGAAATGCGTTACTAACGACATCAAATCATGTAGATCAAGTTCAAATTATCCTACGTCGAGAAATACGCCACAAACGACCCTCAAATTATGAATAAATATCTTATGGAGAAGAACCAAGGAATCAACAGAATTGTACCCACAATTTTGATGGATAAAATTATGTTCCCTCATATTTTTTTGTGATTATAATTTATTTTCTGTCACTTTAAAATTTGTTGCAAACATGTTGAAATAAGGAAGATTTTTGAGCAGCTACTATTGAATCCTGAATGATAAAATCACTATTCTTGGAAAGAAGTGTATTTTTTGTAAATCAAAAGTGGAAAAAGGGAAGAAATGCGTGAAACGGTGAACTACATTTGTAGAGGAGAGAAATGGAGAAAAAAACTAATGTTAATTGAGCTTAATTTGGAAAAATTATGCGATAGTACCTATTATAATTTAAAAGTTACAATTTATAGCTATACGTAGAATTCTATAGCAAATTTCTTAAATATATCACTGCATCGTGGTAAATCAATGGCATAACCGTTGATTTAAAGAGCGATCATTTGAACATTTTTGTCAAAAAATTATAATATTCATATAGAATATAATAGTACTATATATAGGTTAAGAATAGCTTTTTAGATATGTATACACTAAAATTTTGAACACAATCAACAATTTTTCTAATTTCACTATAAATTAATCACTCTAACACACACAAGTCATGTCTTTAGATTCATAAAATAATTGTGGGAGTCCTAATTTTCCCATACTTAGCTTATGACCATATCACACCATTCTTTGAGTTAGCCAAGAAACTCTCGGATAAAGGTTTTTCCATTGATTTGTGTTCAACTCCTACTAATCCTAGTTTTATCAACATCTTTTTTTAACAATAATTAGAAAGGATAATAATGAAAGATTAGTGTCTAATTAATGTTTTCTTAAACGTATACAACATTTTCAATAATAACTTATTTTGAATCGGAGAGGATAATAATGAAAGAGTAATGTCTAATTAATGTTTTCTTAAAGGTATACAATATTTTCAACAATCACTTATTTTGAATAGGAGATAATTGACATTACAATAACAATAGATAGAGATAAATTTAGAATTTGAACATTTTGGGTGCAATGTTATTAATAGCTTAAATATGAGTTTTAAGCTAAATTTAAAATAAAAATAGTAAAATATGGCTCTAGCTGGATTCACACCCTAGTCTAATCTGGTAGGTAATTTCTTAGCGACACAATAATACTCTATGCTTTTCATGAGTATACCGTTAATTATATTTTATATTTTTTTAAACATGCAAAGCGCACACACCAACAAACCGCCTGTAAAGACAACCACTTGGCAGAAAAAGTGTTGGCTGTAGAACACGAAACAAATATGAGAGTTCTAATGTTCCCATACTTAGCTTATGGCCATTTTTTGAGCTAGCAAAAAAACTCTCAGATAGAGGCTTTTCCATTGATTTGTGTTCAACTCCCATTAATCTTAGTTTGATCAAGAAAAAAATAACACAAAAGTACTCCTCTTCAATTCATCTAGTCGAATTTCATCTACCAAACTTGCCTGAACTTCCTCCTCATTACCATACAGCAAATGGCCTCCCTATCCATCTTCAATCTACTCTCTACAAAGCCATCACAATGTCAAAACCACAATTTTACGAAATCCTCAAAGATCAAAAACCGAATGTGTTAGTACATGACGTAATGCAACCATGGGCTGCAGGGGTTGCATTTAGTCTCAATATCCCATCAATTAAATTTTGCGTTACGAGTATAGCTATGTGCTGCTATTTTGGTCATTTTCTTCTTAAAACAGAGGTGGAATTTCCTTTCTCCGCGCTCTATCTCAAGGATCACGAGAGAGATATAACGCGTCCCTATGACGTTGAAGTGAAGGAAGAATTGGGCGAAAACAGAGCAATCATGTTGGTGAATAGCTCTAGGGCAATAGATGGAAAGTACATTGAGTATCTTTCGGAAATTGGAAAAACAGAGATTCTACCAACTGGAGTAGTTGTTCAAGATATCGCCATTAATGATGAAGAGATGGAAATCGTTAAGTGGCTTGGGAATAAAAAGGAGAATTCAACGGTTTATGTTTCGTTTGGGAGTGAGAATTTCTTAACAAAGGAAGAAATGGAAGAGGTAGCGTATGGATTAGAGGTTAGCAATGTTCATTTCGTATGGGTTGTAAGGTTTCCAAAAGAAGAACAAGTCGTAAACCTAGAAGACGTACTTCCTCAAGGTTTTCTTCAAAGAAATATCGGAGAAAAGGGAAGGATAATTGAACGTTGGGCTCCACAGACGATAATTCTAAAGCATCCAAGTATTGGCGCATTTCTAACTCACACTGTGGTTGGAATTCGACTCTTGAATGCATAGAGTTTGGTGTCCCAATCATAGCGTTGCCTATGAACTTTTACTCCGATCAGCCTCTGAATGCTAGATTGATCGTGGAAAATGGTGTAGGTGTTGAGATGGCTAGAGATGGATATGGAAAGATTCATAGAGGTAATGTAGCTGAGACTATCAAAGATGTGATTTTTGGTGGAAGAAATATCGGGGAGGATTTGAGGAGGAAGGTGAAAGATCTTCGCGAAAATATAAAATTGCAGAGATGGATGGAGTTGTTAACGTGTTAAAACAGATTTGTGAGAAGAATGCATGATCGATTTAGTCAAGTCATTACACTCTGTTTTGTATAAAATAAAATTACTCAATTTAAAATGTTTCTCTTTCAAATTTACTTTAACTAAATTTTGTTACATAACAGTGTGTACTGTGTTTGTGTCCACAAGTAGCCTTCACAGGAGGTGCATTATCAGAATTGCTATTAATCCTATAATTTGAAATGAGTGTGGAATTTATCTTTTAAAACATGAAATATGATACTCTTAAAACTTTGTACATTAAATTTATTTCATCATAATTTAATCTTTATATTATAACTGGGAATATACAAGTCATATTTATCGTCTTGGCAGTAGTATATAAATACAAGCCTAATAAATGTTATTAGGCACATAATGCCACCAAAAATATAGAAACTGTTGAACAAAGATAATACAACGCATAAGGCGTAATGCATATACTCCCCTCCGTATCACAAAGAATGATCTGGTTAATTTTGGCATTGAGTTTAAGAATATAAAAAAGACTTTTAAATCGTGTGGTCCTAAATTAAAGTTAGGTCAAATGTACAAAATTGTTCTTTGATCCTGCGGCCTTAAACATGCCACGTAAAATAGAAATTAAAATGTTTCCAAAAAAAAAGAAAGAGATCATTTTTTAAACAGACTAAAAAAAATAAGGTAATTTTTTTTTTGAAACAGAGGGAGTAGTAAGTAGACATGTGATATTCCTTGTACAATTTTTTCCCTTATGAAATGACAATCTATCTCAATATGCTTCGTTCTATCATAATATACTGGATTTGCAGCACACAAGATTGATGTTTTGCTATCTGTGCATACTTCTACAGGCTTCTGCACTTCAATCCCTTGGTCCTTCAGTAATCCCAACATCCATATAATTTCAATAACAGTTGTATGTCACGGACTTTTAGATTCGGACAATACTCCGTGCGGCACTTGACGGTTTACTCACGATTCTTACACGTTCTTGCAAACTCAAGTAAGCCTAAAACTCGGATCGCTAAGAAAATAAGAAGTAGATAGAATTTTGGAAGAAGGAACTTCTATTACTTGAAAAATGATTGGATGCTTTACAAGTAAAATGAACTACTATTTATACTACTCTAATGCCTAAGAGATAGTAAATGCTACACTATACAAGTTCCTAAGACTATGCCTACAAGACAAGCTTCTAAGTCTTTCAAAAAGGACTCCTAGATGCTCCTAGTCTGCCCCATGATCTGCACAAGCCTCCCAAAGGCTTGAAACTCCTAAAACTGCCGCCCCACTACCAAGTGTAACAGCTGTAACGGCTGTAACTGCCGTAACAGCTGAAACTGTTGTAACGGCTGTATCTTCACCTGCTGCTGGCCCCCTTGGCTGCTGGCCTGCATGGTCAGCCTGCCCCCTCGCCTGCTGCGCCTGCTGGCTGCCTAGTTGGGAGGCGTTCAGCCTGAATGGATGGCGGGACGTCACAATCTCCCCCACCCCATGATGCGACGACCGCGACGCATTGCTGCAAGAACTCCTGAATTTTGTTTTTGAACTGCCATAGGTCTTCGTACTTCTCCCAAGTGGCTTCTTCCGGAGTTTGTCCCTTCCAATGTACGAGAAACATGGCACTGGCCTGCTGTCCTCGTTTCCGCTTGGCTTGGTAATCTATGATAGCTTCAATTTCACGATCATGCGAGGCAGTAACGGTGATTGGGGCCCGTTGTGATTTGTTCCGGCTGGGATCGTCCTTATCCTCATGATAAGGCTTAAGGACGCTTGCATGAAAGACCGGGTGGATCTTGAAGTGTGGAGGTAACTCCAACCTGTATGAAATCTTACCCACCTTGGCAACAATTTTGAACGGACCCTCATATTTCCGCACCAAGTTGTGATGCATGCCTCTAAGTGCCTTAAACTTCCTCAGATTAAACTTTACCAAAACCATATCACCTTCTTTGTAGTTGGTGGGACGACGCTTGCGGTCGGCGAACTTCTTCATCCTCCTTGCCGCCTTGCTCAAATAAGATTTGGCAAGGTCGAGTTTCTCTTCCCAACCCTTGGCAAAGTTGTAAGCGCCCAAACTCTTCCCCTCGAACAAGGTTGGCAGTGAATGTGGAGTTTGGGGTTGCTGGCCTGTTGCTAACTCGAACGGTGTGCGCCCTGTAGATTCACTCCTCTGCAAATTATAAGAAAATTGCGCCATGTCTAGGAGCTTAGCCCAATCTTTCTGATGTGCACTGACATAGTGCCTAAGATAGCATTCCAACAAGGCGTTGACGCGTTCAGTTTGACCATCAGTTTGGGGGTGGAAACTGGTGGAGAAGTGAAGTTTTGAACCAAGAATCTCGAAGAGTTCACTCCAAAAGTTCCCTGTGAAACGAGGATCCCGATCGCTAATGATGAACCTCGGCAGCCCCCAATACTTCACAACATTTTTAAAGAACAATTGTGCAACTTCCTTAGCAGTACAACCGGCTGTGGCAGGCATAAATATAGCATATTTGGAAAATCTATCCACTACGACCATAATAGTGCCAAACCCGTTTGACTTCGGCAAAGAAGTAATGAAATCCATAGATATACTCTCCCATGGACGATCATCTATGGGTAATGGCTCCAACAGCCCTCCTGGTTGCCTTTGCTCTACCTTGTCTTGCTGGCACACTAGACAAGTCTGCACGTACTGCTCGATCTCTTCCCACGTACGTGGCCAGAAATAGAAGGCCTTCACTAATGCCCTCGTTCTCTTCTGTCCCGAATGCCCAGCCCACAGAGTGTCGTGGCTTTCCTTGACAATACGCCACCTGATGAATCCGAACTTTGGTACATAAATCCTCCGGCCAGTGGTAAGCAAGAATCCGTCTTCTACCCAAAACCGTTTGGTTTGGCCTTGAGCAGCCAGCTGCATAATCTTCTTGGCTTCCGAATCGCGTTGCATGCCATCTTTGATTGCACCTTGGAATTCACTACGGACTGAGGAGATGGCTGCTAATTCATTCTTTCTGCTCAATGCATCGGCTACCACGTTGCCTCTTCCTGGTTTGTACTCCAAGTTGTAGTCAAATTCCGCTAAGAAATCCTGCCAACGAGCCTGCTTTGGAGTGATTTTCTTCTATGACTGAAAATAGCTAGTGGCAACATTGTCAGTTTTCACTACAAATTTGGAGCCTAGTAGATAATGCCTCCATGTGCGTAGACAATGCACAATGGCCGTCATCTCCTTCTCCTGCACAGTGTACCGTCATTCCGCTTCATTCAGCTTCCAGCTTTCAAATGCTATGGGGTGCTTCTCCTGCATCAAGACTCCCCCAATGGAAAAATCAGAAGCATCCGTATGGATCTCGAAGGTCTTGGTGAAGTCAGGCAGCATCAAGACTGGATCTTTAGTAACCGCAGCCTTAAGACCTTCAAACGCTTCCTCGCACTCCTCACTCCACAGCCAAGGCCTGTTCTTCTTCAGCAGCTCGGTCAGTGGGGCAGCAATAGCAGAGTACCCGCTGATGAACCTGCGATAATAATTAGCAAGTCCAAGAAAAGAACGTAGCTCGGTCATTTTCGTAGGCGCTTCCCAATCTTGGATCGCCTTTACCTTTGCCTCATCCATACGGAGTTCACCTTGGCTGATCACATGGCCCAAGAAATGTATCTTCGGTTGGGCGAATTCGCACTTCTCCCGCTTGACATAAAGTTGATTCTGCCGCAAGACTTTGAAGACCTTCTTCAAGTGCTCTACATGTTCCTGCAAAGTGCTACTATTGACGACTATGTCATCTAAGTACACTACTACGAACTGGTCCAAGTAGGGATGCAAAATCTCGTTCATCAGCGTGCAAAATGTGGCAGGTGCGTTGGTTAAGCCGAAGGACATCACCAACCATTCGAATGCTCCATACCTGGTCACGCATGCTGTCTTTGGCTCATCCCCCTCTGCAATGCGCACATGATAGTAGCCTTTCCGGAGATCCATTTTGGTGAAGTACTTGGCCTCTCCAAGACGATTAAACAAATCTGCGATCAGCGGGATTAGATACTTGTTCCGAATTGTGATCTTGTTGAGCGCCCTGTAATCAATGCATAGACGCATCGACCCATCTTTCTTCTTCTGAAACAGCACCGGTGCTCCATAGGGTGCCTTGGATGGACGAATGTGACCTGCTTCGTGGAGCTCTTTCAATTGCTTCCTCAGTTCTTCTAACTCGGGCGGAGCCATGCGATAAGGTGCAAGCGCAGGTGGCTTGGCTCCCACCTCCAACTCGATCATATGGTCTACCTCGCGCCTTGGAGGTAATGTCTTCGGCAGCTCCTCCGGCATTACGTCACTGTTTTCCTGCAAAACAGATTCTATGATAGGTGGCAGTGGCTCCATAGCACCATGGTCTTCACCCGAACTTGCGATGGTGGCTAAGAAGGTTGGTGCTCCTTTCTTCAGGCCCTTCAAAATCTGCATGGCCGACAGTTGGGCATATCCGTCTTTCTTCGGCACCCTAACAAGAGGCACCATACAAGACCCTTCCCCCTCCATCACCATGAGTTGTTGAAGGTAGGGATCAATCATCGTGTGGCAACGTTGAAAGAATTTCTGCCCAAGAATAACATCGGATATGTCCAAGGGAGCTACGGTAAAGTTTGTCTTACCTCTCCACCATCCTAAAGTGATGCTGACCCCATGAGCAATTCCACACACGGGAGTTGGTGGGGCGTTGACCGTCTTGAGGCGATTGTTGCTTGGAACAATTTTCAGTATCAATTTCTCTGCCACCGTGTCACGACCGGAATCTAGA